AACATTGATGACATTGTCTTACAGAGTAAGACATCTGTCATTGTCAAGATCGATGTTCCCGTTAGTGTTGTGCTTATCCGCGTACACGCACACATTGGACCCCGTGAAGTTGACGTCGCTGTTGGTTCATAATTTTGTTAACGGGAAGGCCGGTAAAAAGGACCGGGAAAGGAAGATAGGACGAAGTCTTCTTCCAGGCATCAATTATGAAAATATGTTCCAACGGAATTGTATCCATTATTCAAATGTTTGTATTTAGTATGTACAGATGAAAAAATAACCGAATTTCATTCTAAATCTTCACGTTACAAGATTCATTCTTAATATCCGATCTGTTAAAATGTATTAACATTACTGGCACCCTCTGAATACAATCGTCATTGGACAGTTTAATTTTATAACTTGGACACGAGAACATGAAATGCTACAGTATGTTCAGGCAGAAAACAATGTTCGTAGTATTTTATATTATTAAGCGGTATAAGTTTTCGAAAGGCACAATTTTAACTGTTGGGAGGAGTTCGTAAGTAAATTATTGACATTATCTCCGAAACAGTTCAACCTTGTACGGTTTTATGCTCACGCGTAGAACGTCCACACCGACAGTCCGGTCACGATAAGCAATGAGACGGCCATATCGAGTTTTGTTGTTGTTGTAGCAACGTCAACCACTAGTCCGTTCCGAGGCCGCTGAAGTCCCCTAAGTCCGTTCGCCATATCGAGTCCCCTAAGTCAGCGACGTCTGTGTTGCCTCTGAACTCCTGCCCCGCAACCGCGTCCCCTCGTACAGGTTGTAGTAGTCGTCATTGAGCCCGTAGTTACTTCCTGCGTACCTCAGCGGCGATACCCGAGGGTAAAAGTTTGTTGGAACGGACTTAGCCCTAATGCTATAATTGTTTTAAAAAAATGTGACAAGAAATTTCTGAAAAGTTCAAATTCTATTTAAAATATTTTTGACATATCCTGCTGCAAAAAAATAAATCTTTAAACCTATGTGTGTTATGAAGAAGCATAGATTAATTATTAAATTATTTATTAGTTGGGTAGCTAACAATTTTGTTGTCGTGTTCCAATTATTAATTCAATTCTGTTCCATGTTAATTGAACGTCAACACTTTTCATTAAGCACTAATCTTCAATTCTACATAGACCACTATATAAACCCTCTAGCGTGATCGAAAACGGATCGAAATATGAACTAAGTTTGAAATTTGCACTACTTATCTAGTAACACGCATTTCATTCTCACCATGCTTTGGCATTCCGTGATCCAATTCGCACAAAAGTTTATTCCAATGAATATGCATCAACTTTCATTGCTGTTCGGGTCGTAGTTCACGGCGTTGTAGAGGTTTCAGCTGGGAATTTGTAGAAAAAAGTACAGAAAATTCGGACAAATTTATTCATCGCTTGACGAGATATGGACGCTTCAAGTTTGATGTAAGCTACAGAGCAGCATATGTACTATATTTTTCCGGCTCCTTGCCGATTGTACGCCCATTGTTAATTGACAAACACGTAAATATCCCTCGATGGTGTTATTGATTTTAAGCTAGATTGTTTAAAAAACTTAGTGTTATCTTGAACAAATAGGCACCAGGAAAATAATTAAACTGTGATGATTAGGTTCATCCCTATCATCGGTTCAGCATAAATGAGTGCACAAACGCAAAATTTCACTCAACTTATTAGGCTTCAAGACTTCATTAATATACGAATCTAAAGATAAACGTTCGCTGGCAAACCAGAACCAGATCGGCTGGAATGCTTAGTGCAATAAAACTGCGTACTACTTCTCCTGCACGAGAATGACATTGAACTGTTTTTATCGTGTTTATAATAATGTTTCGTCTGTTTATAATAATGTTCAATAAACTCACTTAGATCATGATTTTACAACACTTCTCTTTAATTTCACTTCTTGTTGTTTGTTTGGTTGCTTGTTTGCCTGCTACAAATATTACAATCGATATTTAACACACTTCTACCTCTACAATCGATCTGAAATTTTGCACACTTGCGTAAAGCTTGAGACAATGCTTGAATCAATTGTCAGAATAAATAATTTTAGAAATGTAAAAAAAATTAATATTAAAAATTGAAAAAATTATTTTGACTGATACAAATCTCATAATTTATATTTAAAAAATCGATCTGAATTCTGAAATCTTGCACGCTTGCCTGAAGTCGGAGGCAATGCATGAATCAATTGACAGAATATATAATTGTGAACTTTACCATTTTTCATATATTAAAAAACTAGACGATTAATTTTTTTAAATATTTGAAAATAAAATTAGAAATTCATTGTACATGGGCAACATCGGAGACACTAGATTCGTTAGAAGTGTTGTCTTTAAAAAGTAATTTTGAATTAAACGCATAATTTATTTATTAGCAACATAGATTTTTGCACCAAATTTTGGTAATATTTCATTAATTCTTGCTCTTTATATAGTATTGAATCATAAACTTGAAATTTTTCCAAATTATTCTTGTTTAAACTGAAATTATTTGATATAACGTACGCTTTAGAATGCCTCTCTTTATTATATTCGTGGATATTCATCGCTTATCTTTTAACTGAAGTTTCTTGCATAGCTGTTGTCGTTATTATACCTGGAACGTGGTTCATGTTATATATTTATAATGCTTGTATGTTTTAGTTACAGAAATACCCGACTAGAAAATCTTTAAACAATAAAACGCCTAATAAATTCTCTTTAAAATAATTAATAATCTTGCAAGGGCATGTTCACTGATGAAAATTATGTCGATTTGTCTGGTTCTCATCGTAATAGCATCGGAAATTCAGCTCTTCAACAATAATGCGATTAGATAAAATACAGAAAGTGAGTTAACGAGTCCATGTGTTTACTCCTGTCCTCCAATTTGAAATTTTTTCGAATGACTTAAATAATTGAAATAAAACTTCATATAATCTCCTTTTATATTCAAAGAAATGAAAGATTTTTAATAGTTTAGTCTATTTTTACTTTATTCTTAGATTAAAAATACAATTTCATTCTTTCAATTTTATTTGTTATAGCTTGAATTCTTATCGCTGCCTCTTTGAAACCAGCGAACGGAAGCGAAATGACACAAACTTCTCCCGAGACGGAGGACTTGTTTTTCCACTCTGACCTCGTGGACAAAGACATGCGAGACGAGGCCGTCATCCACTCAGCTCGAGAGGCCCTCATCGCTCGGGATGAGTCTCTGTCTACAATTGACCATGAGCAGGCACCATGCAGAGCAGAAAGCAGTGGAAACATGCGATCGTGATAGAAAAACTTTAATTTCCTTAAATTAAAGAAAATTTAGGTGCAAAATATGACCGAGAATATGTCAAAAACTTGGATATCGAGGAATTTCTGGAACGTGAAGTTTTGAAATTTGTTCGTTGTGATGATATTTCAGCAAAACCATCTTGCCAGGTAATTTTTGGCCCCTTATGTATCTAAAGGGTAAAAAAAATTCGTACTTGAAATTGTCGTACACGGGAGACTACTGACTCTCAACGTATGCAATTATGTCAGGCCTTTAATTCCACTTTCATAATTCAGGATAATCTTTTTCGTATGATTGTTTTGACGTTTTTCTTTACTAATAATAAATTTCATTGAATTGATATAAACGATTTTAAACATTTATCTATGCACTGAAATTAAGACTTGGGCAGGAATCAAGTCTTGTATAATAAGACAAATATTGAGCCATGAATATGTAAATGATGTAAGTAAATTTGCTGTCATGCTTTGCTTGAGTTGTTATTGGTTTCAACAGCAATTAGTTGCAGTGCAAGGTTTGTCCTGCTCAAGTGCGTTTATAGGAGCTTCTTCAGATAGCGAACTGGTCTAGCCGAGCGACGTTCCACATCCTGTGGAGCTCGTAACAATTAAAGCCCCGTTCCGGGCAACGGGTTCTATGCCCGTAACGTAGTTTTTAGTCGAAAATTCTTGTGCGATGAAATGTATTCGGTCATTTGAACATCCCGATAGCTTTGTATTATTGATATCTAGCTAACCAAAAACATGATGACAATCCAGCTGTATTTTGAATGGTAGTTTTTGTATTTTATCATTTACATTGATTTTTAATTCTACTATATAGATATTTCAATAACTTGTATGGTTTGTTGAAAGTTTTTGCTGCTTTCTCAGACCATGTTCGATTCTTCAGTCATGCATTATTTATTCAAATCCCTATTATGATTCTTCAGTCATATATTCTATACCATCATATCGATTTATTAGCGTTCAGTTAAGTGTTTTCAAACCACTCAAGCAACGCGTGGCTAAAACAACACCAGAAATTTACTGGTTCAGTCCGGCGAGGTTCCTTCAGCTCGTCTCCAGCAGTGTGACTCTTGCCGCGACTGCAGTCGGTGTAAGGCTTTCTATGATTGGCATGTGCTGCTCTACGACCGAAGTTTACAGTAACGTCGGACTTGAGTTTCCATCTTGTGCGATACTTAGAATCCGAAATGAAAAACGAGCCATTTTCGAATAGCTATCGCATAATTAGTGCCGAAGCATCGAAAACTGGTTTAGATCAAGAATTTGCTATTTAAGCGGTGAACTATGGACAAAAAATCAGTAGAATTCATTACGGAAGAACTTTTGAAAGTGAAAAAATACTTTCGGCGTACAACTGGAAATTTCTGTTGAAATTAGTCTCAAAATTAAATCGTTTGACCTTAGTTCGTTGAATATCAACATTATTGATTCACTATTATTATTTAAACATGTTAATTAATACGGTATAGAGGAGATATACAATATACGTCTTCTCTAAATTTGCCTCGGGGAAACAATTCATGCTTGATCTACCTCCATATCTTCAACTTTACATATTTGTCTACAGTGACTTGCGTTACCAATAGAGAAGTGCGCACAAATGTAGATTCTTCGTACTCTCTGCAGTCCAGAAAGCCAGCCGGCAAATGGCCAACTGAAGATGCCAGCAAAGTTTAACAGTTGATTCAATTTTATTTTTTCAGAATAACATAATCGAGTTTTAAATGAAGTACCTCGTAATGAAATATTCTCTGAGAACACTTTTGCCGCTCTTTGTGGTGATATTTCTTCTATTATTAGGGATTCCTATTCTTACCAAAAGTGTGATAGTAGAAGTTATTGAAGGTAAGTTAAATAGTTCTTAAAAAATTCATTGATTGACAGAAATCATAAACGAAACAAAACAAAAATTTATCTTCATTGAAACGCACAAGGGAGTTGCTTTGAATAATGACATAAGTGCCTTGAAAATGTATACGTATAATAGTCTCTCATTGATTTAAATTAACGAATGACTTTAAGCACAACATGTGACCGCAGACACCCTGAAACCAGTTACCGAGCACGAAGCGATGCGTTCTTCTCCCGAGACGGAGGACTTGTTTTTCCACCCTGACCTCCTGGGCAAAAACATGCGAGACGAGGCCGTCATCCAGGCAGCTCGAGAGGCCCTCATCGCGCCCGCCCGAGAGGGTCCTTACTACCTTGACAACCCGCGCCAGAAGTTCTACTCCCAGCACGGCCAAGACAAACACGTCAAGGAGATTTTCAGGGACATGGTGAGGGTTTTCGGTGTCATAGCCATTGCAGTGATGCCTCTTCGAGTTAAAAAAAATCTCTCTGCTCGCCAATATACGTAAATACAAATTTATAGACGTATATATACCAGAATTCATGGTACAGACGTATTTATACCAGGATCGAGTTTTAAATTACCCTCAGGGTCTTAAATTTTCCCACATTCACGTATTCTGCACTCATATTGGTTGTATATTAATATTTTGTCGGTCGTGTGTATATTTGTTTTAATTCTATGCCCTAACTGCTGAAAAATGCAAATAAAATGTATTGAGAATGAATTGCGTTGTTATTAAAATATTGGTTCATTATGCGTACCTTTCCCGGTTATAAACCGCGTAAATTAAGGAAGAAATAACCATTCCATACCATAGCAGAAAGGAGGCTTCTTCTTCGAAGTAGGTGCGTTGACGGGAGAGAGCTTATCTAACACACTGTACCTTGAACGGGAGCTCGGCTGGACGGGCGTTCTGATGGAGCCCACGCCGGTCAGCTACCACGTCCTCAAGAGCAAGAACAGAAGAGCGCACATCATGCGGGCGTGCCTCGTCCCAGACACCAGCTACAGGGAACCTGTTTTTGAGTTCGTGATTCACACTAGGACAAGCCGTCGTTACACGTGGTTCTGGTTATTGAATACAATTTGCAACTGAATATTTGTACATTAACACTTGAAATCTGCCCAAGTCTCAGGCCTTCGAGCTGGCAGACAACGATGGCGTAAACTATTTCTAGCTCTGTCATTTAGCTGGTACATAATCCTGTCTGAGTCGAGTTTACAAATTTGTATTCTTGGTTTCTTTGGGTAATAATACCTCGTTGAAAATAATACCTCATGTAATCGCGAAGATTGTAAAGAATTTTTCTTGCAAGTGAATGTCTGTTTCTAAAAAACAACGTCTAATAATTCGTTTGAGTTGAAATTCGAATTTTAAAGAGTATTGATCACAGCGTTTCAATTACAACATCCACACCAACTTTATCACTAAATGCATATATAATCGTGGAGTATAATCAAGAGATAATTTGTTTCTTCAGTATAGGGAGAGAAGCGTGGGGCAACACTCTTGTGGACGCCGAGAAGACAAGTAAGTCGGTGAGAGTTCCGTGCTATCCATTCTACAGCATCCTGGCGGCCCTGGGCAACCCTGTGGTGGACTACATGTCACTCGACGTCGAGGGCGTCGAATTGAAGGTACAAACATGTCGCTAATCTAAGGATCTTATGAAATCAATGATCAGAATAAGGTAGGGAAGATAAGGTTTACAATCACATGATTAGGATTCAATCTTTACGATTTAACAAATAGCAATTACCCCATGATAGTGATTGTAAAGACATTTTCAGAATTTGTGTTCGGCAGGTGCTGAAGAGCATCCCGTGGGATGACGTGAAGATCAGGGTGATCACCATCGAGATTTTCTTACTTCCTGAAGGCCCAGAAGCGCTCAGGGTGTTCATGGAAGAAAAAGGCTTCAAGTTTATAAAACAACTCGACCAAGACTATTTGTTCATCAATAAACAACTCAGCAGAGGTTTGAATATTAAAGTTATGAAGTAAGAGCAAGAGCAGGGTGGCCCAGTGGCTAAAGTTCAGAGTACCAAGATTGAGGCAGAGAGGTCCTGGTTTGATCCCAGCTATGAGCGCCACTTTAATGTCAGAATCGGCAAGGAGGCCGGGCGTTAAGCAAAGAAAATTTGAAGCAGTGATCGCGAGTTCAAGCCCGCAACAAGCTTGTGATGTTTTGCATTGGTAAGAATCGGCGACAAGCCTACGGCCTAATAAACACTGTAACTGCTATATCATTATTATTAGCATATGGATATCAATGAGCATTTATTTCCAGCTCTGTGCTTTCTAAGGCAATTCGCCACAGTTTCAGTCTCTAATATAATATATTTCAAATTCCGTTGTCTCTCGTAAGTGCGAACAAAAAGTAACTCAACATAAAGTTTCACGATTCAAATTCACAACCTAGTCCGAAGTTTTGTGGGATTTAGAGAGTAATTTTTTTTTTTCAAAAGACCTACTAGCGCAATCCTTTACTTGCTGGTGGATAGTTTTTTTCGATAGTTGTTCGAAAGTCATTGAAAGTTTTGAAAGAGGTGAAATGATACAAAATTTAAGAACTTTCTGTTACACTGAACACTTTTACTTTCTGCTCAACAATGACCTTCAAGTTATTTGAAATAATCTGTTTAAGTTCCTGCAAAAATGCACGCGGTTAATCGTACGACGAATTTTAGCAAATTAGATAGATAATTGCAATCCAATAATGTTTGTGTTAACTGCTCAAAACTGACCTGATATTAACTTCGTAATTCCAGTTTTGTTTTAACTATGTCAGGGTTGTGGCAAAGTAAGACCTAATGAATCTAAAAACGAAGGTTCCCAGCTGCGAAATTTGATGCTTTTTAATTGCTAACTAAATGAAAATTGATGATCCATGAAATAACTGCACGAGTCTGCTGACGTTGGTATATGTAAGGCGGTGAACTCAAGGAGGTAATTTTTAGTCTAATGCGAATAGTTCACGTTAGACTGAATTTATATATTTTTCACTGAATATATACATATATGTATAATGGTATAGTTCGGTGGAAGATTTTCTTTTATGCAAGTTTGATTGAAGTCCAGAGCATGTTTTTTCTGGATTTGTGGAAATAAAGTGGTCAGTTAATCTCATAGCCATCTAAAAATTTTGTTCGACTCATTGAAAAAACGCATAAGAAGATTATTAATAGAAAGCATGCTCTTGTCTCCAATCAAACTTGCGAATATGTATATATGCACTCGATGATATCTAAATTAATTTCATCAACTATATAGGTTAAGTAGGAGAATTATTGATAGGTTTTAATCTACAATTGAATTGATCGTGCACTGTTGCTCTTCATTATATGAACTCTATATTTACTTAGTCCGATAACATGGGTGTGCTCAGAGTATCGTTTGGATGCATTGAGGCGTATTTATATCTACCGTCGTAATCACCTCTATACAATCAGTCCACATGCAAACTTTGAGCAGCTGGGCTCTGTAGCTCACTTCTTATCTTCCGTCCACTTGCTACCTTCTTCTCAACGTTTGCTCTCAACCAGAACGAGTTCGCTGACCACTTCATTTCCGCTCCCCCATTATTAGTTCATAAGACTAATGCGTAGTATCAGGTTCGTATTTTGTATCAGTTCCATTAATGCCGGAATAGATCTAATCTCGCCGAGCTCTGTTTCGGTAAGATTAGAGATACGTCTTTTTTGGTTATGATTTTATCATCATCAACATTAATGCCCCACATTCACATCAGCTTACACAGCAGAATTGAGCCAATGTGTATATGATGAAAATCAGGTCAAATAACCAGTGGCTTATAAGTTGAGTCAAGTATGATTTCAATTGAAGCCTTTAATTTCAAGGTTAATACTATTCTGGCGTCAAATAAAAAAATAACCATTTATGTAGGCCACCATAGGTCTTCGGCTCTTCGCGTACAATTTGCAGCTTTGTGCTTTGAACGTGTGCGATTATCAGTGAGTTTTGCAGCAAGTATTAAAATTAAAAATTGGCGTTCATGAGGGATTGATAACTTGGGACGCCAATCAATTAATACTAAAGCTTGCACTAGTCCGCTGCTTAGACAGTTCCAATGCAACGAGAACAATTTCATTCTGTAACTCTAGAAATTAAAAACAAAGTTTACTTACAATACCGATTTGCTTTATCTGTATAAATTGAATAAATAAATGCAACTTTTAGATGTTAAAACTGGTTCACTACTTTAAAATTGATAATATGTTTTGAACTGTAAAATGTTTTCACAAGCTTGAAAGAACTCAGATAACACATTCAATTTATTTATTTATTTTATATAAAATGCTTTTCACTTTTTTATTTTTATTGATAACGGGATTTTTTCGGGAATAAGAAACGAGTTCAGTGAATTGCGGCTCAATAATTTCTGCGAGAGATATTGCGAGGTCCAGGCAATCTTGTTCTGCACCGCAGCGGCGCGGGGATCACGTCACGTCGGCGCGGCGAACGCTGTCGCCGAGTTTACCGCTGGCTGAACCGCAGCGCCAATTATAATATCTCGAGGTAGGAATAATATAGGGCTTCATCAATTTAAATGCGCTTCTGAGGGTCATCTTACGCGCGTGTAAAGAATTGTACTACAAGTTATATTACGTGTAAGCCTTTAACAATAATATAGTTCGACGAGACGTTTTTTAGTCGTTCGTATCCCATTTTTTAGAATTGATAAAGTTACTTCGGATGAAAAATCTTCTGATTTACCAATGAATTAATTTTTTTAAAGCTCTACTATGGTTGATAAATGTCATGCTGGTGTGGGCTGTATTAATTTGCGTAGTATTATGCTCAAATTAATTTTTTTGCAAAGAATACACGTTAATCTCAGAAGAAAACATTAAAATCAGATGAACAACTTAGATGGAAAACTAAAACTCTCTAAAAAGGATCCACGAATTTAAGTTGAGCCTATAAATGACGTATCTCTCTTGGCTTTCCCCGCCGAAAACACGCTAGTGAACATGTGTTTCAGTTCCTGACAGTAATCCGAACTAGCGGGCCGGTGCTATAAAAACTCTGCGTTCACGCAACCGTGCCTCGTAATATCAAGTCACGAAGCTGAAAAAGCCAAGTAATATCGCAGTCACGGTCGTTAACATCACCGTGACCGATAATATCGCAGTCACGGTCGTTAACATCACCGTGACCGATAATTACTGCTGCGCGCTCCTGTTACAGCTTCAAAGAAGCGACACTGTAGGCTGCTGTGTTTTCGCTGCAGCGTTGAGCCAACGTTCAACACATCCAATTGTCAGTGATAACGGATTTTAGCGAGTCCAGTGATGTCGTTTTTGAATGAATAGCTTGCTTTTATCCATTGGTTCCTAACTGAAACAAGCTTAAGACTAATGGTGTGCGACGGCTTTTCAAGTGGACGCGAACAATTTCGAAGATCCTGAACTAATTTCATTTATTTTTTTAAGTAAGTTTTAGACTGTTAAATTTGAACAAAAGATTAATTTGGGGTACTAATTAACAAAATGTCGTTGATGCTCGTATGGTGGCTCCTTGTATTAGTGATGTGCGGTAACTGTGCAATGCCTCCTATTGGCACGCGATAACGAAAAATTCGAAAAATTATTTCCTTATTGATGTCTTAAACTCTATTCCGTGTTAAGATTTTTACACGCACTGAACTGCTTTATTTTATTTTCTAATTTACTGCCATGCATGGATTATAAATATTTTCATGGGAGCATTACGGGCAATAAGAAAAATTAAGCGTTAAAGAGACAAACCGCGTTGCTAGGTGTGAAGTAAAATTGTCAGAACTAGTGGGCGATTTGATGTGAGTAATTCTGAACTAAACAAGTAGTGCTGTGTGGTCGATATAAATACTTATGCATATTCTATGAATGATTTGAAATTTGTTTTTATAGTCAAGTAAAAATTAATAATTTGTCGAATCTATCAATGAGCCATCTTACAGTCGCTTTGCATTTTGGTTAATATGCTATTCCGATAAAGCGTTTATTGTTTATGTTTACCTGCAGAATTCAAAGACACCAGTAATATTTTTTCACTGAAGATTAAACGACTAGTTTACATGTATAAATTTTTAATGAAAGCAATGTTCACACCGAATAATGTATGATCATAAAGAATTCGCTTTTAAAACCAAAGCGATTGGAGGATACAATTGTAACAAAAGTCTTCTGAAACAATGTAAGTCGTGATAATAGGCATCAAGTATAGAGACTAGACGCTTCGCACGAATTCTAAAGCAGTGACAACAATGCTTCTTGGACTCAAGAATGCATGGGTGCTGTCGCTATAGAAACTTCGCTAATCAAAAGAAACCTTAAAAAATATTCTGTAACTAACGGAAATAATTGAATGGGATCCATTTTGCGGAAAGCTGGATACCATGACGCAGTCACTTGCGTTGATAGCTGTAGATTTTCAGTGTGTACAAAAAACTGGACATTTGGAATGTTGCAAGTGATGGAAGAAGAAGGAGTTGAGTTTGACGGCTATAGCACTGAGAGCATTAAGCCACATGTGAAAAGTAGACCTGCCTCACGTACTCAGTAGTACACCTTCAGAGCAGCGTGTTTATATGAATTTTTTTCGACGGCGTAAAGAAGTCGACGACGGAGCTAGCGATCTGGATCGTCGTCTGATGTACCAGGCTTGGCTGGAGGCGAGGGTAATTAATTTTCACCAATTTCGACAAAAAATTAGATGTGCTTCAAAGAAGTAAAGAGCATGCGTGGTAAACTGACTTTAATGCGTTTCACAGCATGAAAGACTTATACGTTTTGTTCGACATCGTTAACTCGTAGAAACTTGAGGATTATGAATATACATGTTGAAATTACATTAGCTGCATCGCTTGCTAGTGTTGTCTGGCAGAAAGGCATTTGCCGTGATTAATTATTTTATGATTAATTATGTTTTGCGAGACGAACAATAATAAATCTCACACCAGCAGAACTAGTGTAAGACATTCAACAGTGTTTCTTGACCACTCACCAGAGGCAAGCTTGCTAAATACATACGTTTCTAAAGCTGCTTAAAAGCAAAAGATCAATCAAAACTGGATCACACTTTGAATGGAACGTGTTATCAAAATGCTGTGATCATTCAATCAGAAGGTAAAATTTAATCGATTGTTCTTATATTAGAATGAAGAATAGTTAATTAAATTTTATTCGCTTATACTGGCAAAATTTGTACATATTAAATTTTATTCGCTTATACTGGCAAAAAAATGTACTTCAGTAAAGGAATTAGTGCAGATTTTCAATATCAGAGCAAGTATTGAATGAGGATTTCATTGTTTACTGAGGGTTTGATCGAGTAGATTGAAGTTTACAAATTATTATGATCGCAGGAAAAACGATTTTTTTTTATTCGGTAAAAATTGATTGGGCCACGCAGTCGTCTGTCGCCTCGTTGGCTGCGCTTCATAGGAGCATATCCAAAATACCTACGGCGTCCGATATTACCTAGCGCATGGAAAGAAACAAAATATGGAACATACGATGTTATGTTGGTAAATATTCAAGATAATACTATGATAATCGACTTGTTTTTACATACAGTATTAAAATTATCCGGTCTCACTTATTTTATTTTCTTGAGTGCCTTATTCGTTACGAGTGCAAAGTAACTTGCACTGCTTATCTTTAATCACTGGGATACAATTAAGACAAGTTTTTGTGGTTACCAAAAGGTTTACTGCAATGCACTGATAAAGAACAATTTAGACACATAACATAACCTAACATAGTGATCTCGGCGCTGAAGTGTAGGCCTGATTTGCCCTGTCGCCTATTTCTTGAACTTTTCATGACTTGTTTACTGAAGATCTGACATCGTGTCATTGGACCGGATCTTTTCATGACTGACTACAGTTTAAAATAGCTACTAGACTTCCAACGGGTTCGATATGGTGCTCCGTGCTAGGCATTTCATGTCTGAACATATTTTTTTCCATAGCTTTATCTTGTCTGTTCTTGAACGCATTCATACTCCGAGCGCCACACGGTCTTTATAGATTTTGATAAAATAATTCAAAATTAAGCTTAGTCGTAAAATAATCGTAAATAAATAATAAAAAAACTAGAATTTGGAAAATAAGAAGTTAATTTGACTTAAATAATTTTGAAATGAATTACAAACGCTGTCTAGCTAATAATATTCAAGAAAAAAAACAGTTTTGTACTATTAATCTCTTCATGTTTTTAATTTATATTATAAAAATATAGTTTTACGAGTTGTCCAGTTTTTCCACTTGTTGTGCATCAATCAAGTATCAATACATAACAGCCTGATATAAAACAGTTGCCCCTACACTCATTCTTCTAAGCTTAACGAAGAAAATGTGAAAGAGAGTATTTCTCTTCTGTAAATCCCCCTACGTTTAATCCTGTCTTTCAAGAAATAATCTTTTCATGAAATTTGATAATTACTGATTCGTTTCATCATCATTTCAAATTAAATTCGAAAAAGGTCCTCAATTTGTATATTACACGTAATCTGATTTAAATTAACCTGTTCGACTCATTAAACTGCCGACTACGCAATTACAAAAAAAAACTCAACTCCCTAGTATGCGGCTTTTTCGAATTTCTAAAATAACGTTTCTTGTGAACAATAAATTCAACCAGTTGGCATTTTTGACAAAATGGGTGGCACAAAAGCCACAAAGCTTAGCTCTCTCTATGCTACCTGGCTGGCGTGCCCTGGCCAGTGATCTCATTCTTCCCCAATTCAGAGGACTTCCACCGGAAACAGCTCAGGCCAATTCATTTTTTGTGTGAGCGATTTTTTATATTCTCCTAAACATAATTCCACTTAAATTGATTATTTCTAAAATTGCTGAATGAAAAATTTCTAAATAGATTTAATATTTTCCTTCCTCTGAGCAGAGAATTAGCTATGCGCAAAATGTATAACAGTCAACTTGAAATCACGATCTGAGAGCAACGTCAATTTATTATTACTATTCTACCAAGCAGTTATCGTGGCGTCTGGTTCAAGCGAACTTCAAAGACACGTGATACGTAAGTTTAATAGCAAGCGAAAAATAAAGAGACACTATAAAGGATGAGAACGGATAAAAATGCCTAAGCACGTGATTCATATGCTCTACAAAATAGTTCCGTCTTTAGGCGTCGACGAAACACCGGCAACGCATCCCGACCGTGACAATTTACAGTATGTAACTTTTAACAGCTTTTGTACTTGTAGCATTCAATCTGAAGCATTATATCATAATTTCGATGTGAAAAAACTAGAGCTAAATCTAAAATTAATTTACTAAAATAATAAATTTATTTTTGTTTTTAGATGCATGATGTAAATTTTTAATGTAGAAAAACCGGCATTATTATTTTTAAAATTTTTATTAAAAATTTTTGTTTGGGATCAATGGAAGCAAAAAAGTCACACTCGCTAGGGCTAACTAAACAAGTAACACCAGGAACTATGAAGTACTTGAAACCAAGAAGCAATATATAAAAACGATTCGAACTTAAGGACGATTTCGAACACGTTGCTCATATTTCAAGAAAGTATTAATTTGGTAAATATTTCGACTTTGCAGTTGTGTTCTAAAAAATGTATGGCCATCTACAAATAAGAGGCTATAATACAATGGAAAACTTTAATAAATGTGCATGCAGTTGGAAGAAAAGGGTTTTTATTGTTTAGGGTGAGAGTAGTAGTGATACATATACAGTTGTCCATAATATACAGGCCGGAGGTAAAAATTCCCACAACACGCTGAGCTTTAGTGTACCGTACAATTCAATTACATTTTATAGGTTTAGTTCATTATCTGCAATGAATGTAAAATTTTCCTGGTAGGGACATCCAACCATCAGCACCCGGACCGCTCCTGAAGTCTCGCCGAGACCCGTGATCCGTGAGAAGACGAGCTGTTGCCGTCGTCCCAGACCATCCCACGGACCCACACCTCAAGGCTGCCACCCCACGTAGGAAGTCTCACTCCACAGAGAGTAAGAGATCAATCGAAACTGAATATGTGGCGTCGTTGGCAGTCGTTTTGACACTCATTAGTGGGTCGTCGCGGAACTTTCTCGAACCTGAAGTCAGACTTAATGAGCAAATTCAGATCAAGAGACACAAGGAAAGTTGCTCACTCGAAATTACAGGAAATGTTGGCATTTTTAATTGGTTAAATTATGAATTGAATTACTCAAACCCCAAAAATAGCCTCCGTCGTCCAACCGACATTATTTAGAATAAGTTTTTACTACAATTTGTTCTTGTGGCTTAATTGCCGAGCAAATTAAACGAATTCTTTCTGGTTAATTAGTCTCTTCTATTTTGCTTATTATATTTTTTCTGGGGTTTGTAATTATTAAATGGCTCGGCCACAAATTTTCATCTTCAAATTGTAAATTAATAACAGTAGTAATCAGTTGCCTGAATGTCTCAAGGCCAAAGTTATCCGAAAGATTCTATAGTGTTTAGTGTTCCTACCAAACTTCTACGACTGTTTTTGTTCGAGTAAAACAAACTTCGTAAGTAAAAATCAAGCTTCTATGAAAAGAGGGAAAGGATTTTAATGAGTATCTTTTCCACCCTTAACCTTCGATCATGCATGAAGGATGTGAGGGGACGGGTGACGTACCTTGAACGGAACCTCGGCTGGACGGGCGTTCTGATGGAGCCCACGCCCGTCAGCTACCACGTCCTCAAGAGCAAGAACAGAAGAGCGCACATCATGCGGGCGTGCCTCGCTCCCGACACGAGCTACAGGGAACCTGTCTTTGAGTTTGTGATTCACACTAGAACACATTCATGATCGTTTGAAAGCACCAGTAAATTGTTTATCCTAAAGCAGTTAATACCTAATTTGGTGAAATTTGTTGACAATTTATGGCCGATGTAATAGGGTTGCAGCAGACAATTAAAAATATACCATTCAACAGAAAATGTCTTCTAAATAATTACATTGATTAGAATAACATTGTTCTAGCTAATTACCTATGTTTGTCGGATGAAATAGCATTTTCTATTTTAATTTTACACAAAAAATACTGGAATAATGCGCTTCTTAAGTTGGTTGCAGGTGCAGTTTCTTGCATTGAATTTCGGCGGCGAATTTACTGTGCTTCGTTCTGCTGTTTCCAGTCAATTTGGTGTTGGGCTTGGCGAATTCACACTGGGAAATATTTTTCTCGTTGACATTTTTATGTTTACACGAGTGAAAGTTTTCTCTCATGCTAGTAATTATTTCTTGCTTACATTGTAAGGCTTGGCTTTGATCTGATTTGTGTTAGAGGTAAAAACTGCTCATCAAATTTGTTGGTTCTCATTAAAACAAATGTCCGAAAAATTGGCCTATGGCCTCCTTAAAGTTTAATTTCGGCTTCAATTAGTAAATTGTGTGCACTAAATCAAAGAGGAGTAATAAAAGAGTTTGTTTACAAAATTATTTTGTTTCAATTCGAAGCATGAGTCTCGAGGCACACACAAACAAGTCAATGTGAAAGACTATATACACAATTGTGACATGCAACTGCTTATTTCAATACATTCCCTGGCAGTTTTCGCAAATCCATTTGTTATAATGCTACTTGACTTCGTACTTGACTGTGTAGATAATGCCGATAGAAAATACGTTTCAACAGAGACAGCATCATTGACGATTTTTTTTCGATTCACATAAAAATAATCAAAGATAAAAATTTATGAGTGAATTCACGCAATTGTAACTCCATTATACGTCACAATCTTAGTTATTCGATCCCGCAAAAATTTCGTTTTTTATTCTTAGTCATTTTCCAAGCAAAAGAATTTTTTAGCATCGTTGACATAGCAGCTTTAGATTTATGGCGCATTGTAGAAGTGTTTTTCTATGTGTAATAGTGATACTTACATTTCAATATATGAAACAGGGATATATAAAAGCGCATCGGCCTCGTAGATGGCCGTTTATTCTACGATATCGTCCAATGTTTTGATATCGAATAGAGCTAAACATAGTACAATAAAAACATGGCAAGCAAATCCCCAGATGGTCAGGAGTTAAAAATATCAACGTAGAACTTTAAGGCCATTAGGCATTATTAACCATACTACTGGTTGCAGAACACGCTTAAGAGAATACGTGACCCTATATTAAAACTTATGGAACCTGCAATAATATAGATCTATAATAAAATAAAGAAATATTCGACTAGTTTCATACATATACAATTTATACACGAATAAATAAATTGTTGCTTTTTATCTCGGCTCTACATAAATGTCAGAGAGTTCACAGTTACCCAGTTCAGAGACATCAGAATTAAGGTACCGATAGCACTTTGTTAAATTGCCTATCAGACCTCGTTGGCTGCATTCTCACGAAATATTTGCTGCCATCTACAATCTGCAAATTTGCCATCTTCTTGAGGAAAACGCCACGGCTTAAAGTCCGCGAGGCTCAATTATGTGAACAGTGAACCCACGTATAAACCCGAATATTTATACGTTAGTTCTATTAGAAAATAGTACACCATAACACATACCCGTTAAATTAAGTACAGAGAGAGTCAGACACACTTTTTTTCCGGTAGGCACCATTTACTGAATTAACATTTACTTCATACTTCACTCCTAAAAGCGAGTAACCGTTATCAAGAATCGCACATTCAGTTTTGTGAAGGTTCTAATTAAAAAATCGTTGCAAAAGAACTAAAATCGGCATACTAATGACAACTAAATATTTAGAGCATTAGCTTACACTTGATATATTTATCAGCGTTTCAAGTTCAGAGTGAAATTTAAATTTACGGTGCAAGCTTCCATGCGCATCATGAAAGGCTATGGAGCCCAACCTGTGGTACGAGTGGTGCTGTTGAAACGGTCGGGTATTTCAGGCGGTACAAAAACACTTTAGGAGTCATCAGAGATACTTGGTTTGATATTTTTGAAGTAACAATAATGTTTACTGCCTAACACAAGGAAATCTAGCAGCGAAGGGCAGCCCTGGACCCAGCGGTCCCTCGTTGAACTTATGCAGTACCGCAACCTGATGCGCGTGTCATCAACGCATCAAGTAAGATAATATGCAATTAATATTACATGTGTGGTTAATGTGTAGTAATTGTGGAACGACTGAGCGGTGCCTAAAAGTGGTAGTCTATTTCAATAGGTTAGGAACCACTGGTATGAGGAATTCGACCCGAAATATCTAACAAATTTTACGATTCACGTCCACAAAATAAGCCATGTTAGAAGACCAAAATATATCGTAACGTATTATCTTTAAATGATTTTTAGCCAATTTATAACATCCACTCAGTTTTCGTCTAATAATGCATTCGCCCGCATTGTAGGAACCTGCTTCACCACAATGAAACAAAAAAATAAGGGCATGAAGAAGAATTGAAGATGACAAAACACCTCTACATGCATTGAAGTTCTGGTTATAAGGTAGGTTCTCATGATTTGTATCAGTCCAAATTATCATGAATAAAGAGAATCTTCGTTTCTTATTTTCACGAAATGAAAATATCAACATTTTTATTACTTTCTGGCAAACATTTCCGAGAAAGACTAAATACGAATACTTCATGATCAAATCTTTCATTGGAGTTTCCTAAGCATTTTTTATCGTTCAAACATGCGTCACCGTCGTAACTTGTTATGCAAAATGATGTAAGATCTCTTATAGCCAGCACAACACTTCCCGGGGTGGCCTCCTCTCCCCTCGGTCTACTGCAGGCTGCACGACACGTCTCTGCGGGGCCTCCTCTCCCCTCGGTCTACTGCAGGCTGCACGACACGTCTCTGCGAGGCCTCCTCTCCCCTCGGTCTACTGAAGGCTGCACGACACGTCTCTGCGAGGCCTCCTCTCCCCTCGGTCTACTGCAGGCTGCACGACACGTCTCTGCGAGGCCTCCTCTCCCCTCGGTCTACTGCAGGCTGCACGACACGTCTCTGCGTGGCCTCCTCTCCCCTTGGTCTACTGCAGGCTGCACGACACGTCTCTGCGTGGCCTCCTCTCCCCTCGGTCTACAGCAGGCTGCACGACACGTCTCTGCGTGGCCTCCTCTCCCCTCGGTCTACTGCAGGCTGCACGACACGTCTCTGCGTGGCCTCCTCTCCCCTCTCTGCGCCAACTGCAGCGCGGTTTTCGATCTGGAGAAGAAACTTATCACTAAGTTTATTATTCGAAAATAGTTTGCATGAATGAAGTGTACATTTCATAAAGGGTGATGTACATACACAGCCTAAAAATTTCATGCACCTTTATAGTAATTTTTTCTTGAATGAGCTACATAATTTAATAAGGTTCTGACTCAAATTTATGAATAGAGTATGAGCGAATGAATTTTTCGATCAACACGTAATGCATGTAAAATTCCATAAGCAATGTGGTGACTAAATATAAATTAAAACATTAGAAATTTCTTTGATTTAGCAAGGCTCTGGAGCATTTAATTGCAACTAAAATACGAAACAACTTATGGCATAAACAACTTTACCGAGCAAGATTGGACAGGGACTTAAAAATGAGTGACTCTGAAATCACCTCAAAAAATCCTTGGAATTATCATAAAACAGGCCTACCTGTTTCTCATAAAATTTAAAGCCGCTGCAGAAATATTGTCACAAGCAAGAACCCTCCCTCAATTCTTAATAAGTAACACATGGTAATACAAGGTAAGTAACAGGTAAGTACAGGGTAAGTAACACATGACAAAGTAATACAAAACCCCATGATCTGCCATGACTTGATCTTCACATCTCCCGCCATGACACACGCATCACCTGCAACACCTCACACATCGAACACCGAACCCCACACTCTAGCAGCAGGACAACAACCTTCAGTCCCGTTAGTTTCATGAAGCCCCGAAATCTTTTTGAGTTCATCTCTTCCCCACGCCTTTCTAAACACATTCCCCAGCTCTCTCCCTCCCTACAATGTGTTCCTTCGTGTGCTACAGCCGTACCTGAGCAGCAACATGTCCGTTCTGATGGAGGGGCGCCGCGCGTTGGGCGTCACCACGCCGTAAGCTTCGCTCAGCCGCCGTCTGATGGACAGGCCGCGCCTCTGGCAGCGCCGCGCCTCGCTCTCCGGTGACGTCAGGTCCTGAAAAAAGGAGGTTCAGTGAGCATCACCACATAATCGTACATAACTCATATTATTATGTTTATCGACTCTATCCATCCGACTCTATCCATAACCCGTCACAGAATATTTCGAATAAAAATTATAACTTTGATTGTTTTAATGGGCAAAATCTATCTCTTGTAACGCTAGAGTTAAATCTGATGGGAAATATAACTTACGTACCTCTGAATTACTAGTAGCATCGTCCCGCTGCGTGCATGAATTTGAGTGTTCGGTTGAGTCTGAATCGTGCATGGCAGAGAGCACAGAGCCGTACGACATTGAGCCCAGCGCTGCCAGACGTCCGTCTTCGCTCAAATTCTGTAACCTGGACACAAGCATCAAGAAAGCATTTATCAAAATCAAATTTCAATTATGGAGAAATCCTCAGCGCGAAATAATAAATAATTATTGCTCTTACGTTAAATTTTCTTGGAACTTATTCTCATAATATTTATTATAGATTTTAAGATATAATTGGACAGAGCATAATAATATACGTTTAAAAATTACTTTTTAAAGACACTTCCAAAGAATCCAGTGTCTCCAATGTTACAGATGTACAATGAATTTCTCATTTAATTTTCGAATATTAAAAAAAATCATTTTTCAATTTTTTTAATATATAACTTTTTTTAATATATATATTTTTTCAAAATTATTTATTCTGTTAATTGATTCATGCATTAATTCTGACTTCACTCAAGTGTGCACAATTTCAGATCAATTAGACAGGTAAAAGTGCGTCAAATATCAGTTATAAGATTTATAGCTGACAAAATTATTTTTTCAATTTTTTTAATATTGAAAAAAATTATTTTTAATTTCCAAAATCATTTATTTTGACATTTGATTCGTGCATTGTCTCCAACTTTACACGAGTGTGCAAAATTTCAGATCGATAGGATAAGTAGAAGTATTTTAAATTTCTATTACAAGATTTATCGAAGACAAACAAACAACAAGAAGTGAAGTTAAAGAGAAGTGTTGTAATAAAGAACTACAATATTTCATCATATACCAGATTTAAACATGGGAGTATTAGGGCAATTGCATTATAAAGAAAGGTTCTAGCTTTCTTGTTAAATTATATTTATTGAAACTATCTGTCGCTACAGTGTGACGCCGCTACAGTGAGTGTAACATTTAAAGGCTCGCTAGTATTTAGTAAAACGGCTATTTGCAGGATTGGCTTAGAGAAAAGAAGGCTCATCGCAGCAACGTGTTCATGGTTAATTACTGTCAGTATTCCCATAATGGTTGCGCAATCATCATTTCATGAAGTACAAGATTTCATGGGACGAAAACTCAGTGGAAAAAATTTATCACTTGGCTCATCGGTGCAAGTAGAGTTACGAGGAAAAATATTTCATATCTATATAGCGTATAAGTAGCTAAAAAATTATAATTAAAAATACAAATATTCGAATAACATATAATATTATGATAATATAATAAAACAGAAATATAATAATTAATATTATTTGATTTACTCGATAATTTTTGAGTAATCAATTCAATAATAGATTGCGGCAACGGTTTCTTGGCACTTACTTCCACACAGAATCATCTTTCATTAGAATCTTCCCTTGTCAATGAGGAGACCATTCCTAGAGGATTATGCCATGATGTTGATCTCGTCCATGACGTGATATTAATTAAGCTGTCGACAGTAATCGTTAACAGTGGATTTAATTCAGAGCGGACTACGAGCTAGATGATATTAAACTCAAGGCCGAGCTGTTGTCACTAGTCAGATGGCTTAAGGCTTCAGAACGATCTCATATCGATGGCTAAGAACCATTGTGGCTAAGCCAACGCAATCCTTTCCTCGTTCAGCGGACATTTTCCTACTCAAGTAGGGCTAGGCGAACACTCGATTCCGAGCATTTATAAATTAGCTTATGAATCGTTATAATAACGGTTCTATATGCATTAATGTGCAGAGTGTCTTTTCGGCGTAAATTTCAGCGCTAAATATGCAGATAGCTTTTCGGCGCTAAAATGCTGAAAAAGAAGGAATTTTTATATTACTAGAGAGTTATTTTTCATGCAAGACGAGCTTTGATTGTTCAATGAATTATGTCGTGTGGGAGCGAAAATTTTCGATCGTTTTCAATAGAATACAAATGTCTATGCGAATAAACAAATATCCGAAGAGCAGGAGCAATGAGGGGAAACTAGACTAATGGCCAGCAAGAAGCAAATGTTTGCATGCCATCTTGTTTGCAGCAAACATGGCACTGCATTCCTGAGTTCATCCAGGAGCTAGTCTTTATGTTTGACTTTTTATATTTTCCGCTAATTTTCCTAGAGCTCATCGCATTATATGGTTTTCTTTACCTTAAAAATTTAAGAAATTACGTTTTCTGCGTTTCTCATCTCATTTTATAAGTACAAAAATGAAATTAGCTGCAGGAAACTGAAATAAAATATCTGAAATCGTTTTTCTGTGAGGTCGTTTTAAACTTTTATATGAAATTAACATTTTATAAACATTATTTTTAAAGGTTTATTTAATGAAATTTGTATTAATAGATCATTATTCACATCAATTGAACTGTTTTTGACCTTACTTTGTAGCTAGGGGAAAGAAGACGCGTCCGACGCAACCAATTTAATCTATGTAGTGGCTTTGGTTTTTGCATTTGGCCGTTTTGAACTTTTGTAAAATTACCTTTTAAAAGCAATATAAAAAACAATAAAACGAATTTTTAGTTATCAAATTGCGTTCATTATTCGCGTTAATTGCAATGTATTTGCACTCGTTTTATTGCGGTCAACAAGACGAGTTAATTTAATCAAATATCGTGGATGTATATGCAATAATTTTTGCAAAACCGTTGTGAACTTTTATAAAATTATCATTTTATATAAATAAATCTATCAAAAAATCCCATTTGTTGCTTATTATTTGACTTAAACTTGACAAGAAAAAGTCTAAAGACGCGTAATGGTACCTTCAATACGATTAATTTGAAGTAGAAAACCTGGGCGACAGTATCAAACAATTTTTTAACATTTTTCAAATTTTATTTTCAAATTTCTGTATTTCTAAAATAAATTTTACATATTTGGCTCCCCTGAACAACTAAAATTAAAAAAAATCTTAAAAATCTACCTCCTCCTATGGTTTTCAATAAGTTGCAGCATTGAGAGGCATTTTATTCGATTCGTAAAGGCGTGGCACGCACGTAAATAATATTAAATCGTGGGGCCCTTCGATCATCGTTCGTGGCACGCATGTAAATAATATTTAATTCATATCTAGCGTCTGCAGAAGCCCATTTTTTCTGAAATGTCCATGGATTGGATTGTATATTAAAAAAAACAAGGGGAGTGGTAAGGGTGAGCGGGAAAATGGTAAAATTTATAGAAAAAATAAAATAAAAATCGGAAGCATGACTTCAAGAATCGATACATATTTTATTTACGAATCGAATGAGATGTCACACCATGTTGTATCACGTAGATTGAAGGAAGATAACGGACTTCTTTTATTGCCGTTGTGCCGAGAACCATTGACTCGGCGGATTAGCGGCGTCTAGGCCTATCGCATTTTAAGAATTCATTCACCTTGCAGCCGTCTTAGACAGATGAACTATCATCGTGTCAGTAGTCTCGCAATTTTGTTCCGTTGAGCAGCCCTTGAAAACCAACGTAAGTTACGTTTAGTTGCTAAACCTTTTGAATAATGTACCTACTGTTCAGTATGTTCATGTACGTTTCGATTCGTTTAATATTCTTGATAAGTCATTTGTCAAAATTTTCATTGAGCCAGTCCATTGTTTTCGTCATTGTATTTTGTTCTCCTGCTCTCTGGGCAGGTCCACGGATTTAAGTAAATTCCACCAGCTACAAACGCTGAACGTTTTTTACCCCAAGCCAAAGTGGCGTTTACAATGCCTCGGCATTGACAGCCGCTTCTATGCATTTCAAGTTTTATTTTAATTATTTCATAAAATTTGAAGGTGCAAGGGGGTTTTCGTTTACATATATATACACGAAGTTTCAGAAAGGTCGGGCATTTAGTTTAGGAGATGAGGGTCCCATGGAATGTAACTTAAATCTCAGGAGTGAGTTCCGTGGACTTTTGAGGTATTTCGTGGTGCTCCTGCTCCACCTAACTGTAATGAAGGCTCAATTCAGCTTCTTGACGGAGGTTTACGCAAGAACTCTCTTACGTAATACGTTTTCGTCATCGTCAATTGCATAAATGACCATCCTTTAGAATAACAAGTTCCATTATACGATGCTTACTTTTCTCTACTCGCTAATTTTGTGCGAGGGCTTAAATGATAAGACAATTTAGAAAAGTACGTTATACGTATATGATGGTTTGGGGGAATCATTTGATATTCTTTGCAGAAAAAAAAATTTAAAAACCCGAGAGACCAATGAGGCATAAAGTATTTATGAGGAAACAATGGATCAGATCAATGGTTATTCGAAGCTGGCTTAAGTGAGATCCCGACCTGTACAGCGGAGGGAATACATAGTCTGGAAGCTGCTAGAGTATGATGTAACTGGGTTATTTTAGTATTCCTCTCGCAAAATAATTCCTCACAATTCCAATTTATTTCTAGGTATGTCTTATCAACATTTTTGGCATTTTAGGGTAACGATAGCGATTCACACTGATTTCAGGGTAAGGAAAATTACTGCCTGGGCATTCAGTGAGTTTTTTGTCGTTGCATGAACGGCATCATCGACCGCAATAATTTATTTGTGTTATTTGACTTATTGTTTATTGCGCAGGGTAAGTAGGCCGGAGTTTATAAATTGTTGTTGTTTCAAGTATTAATGTTCTGCTCTCAATTCATTCCAATGCTAATTTTATTCCTTTGTGTTAACGTTCATTCATTGTAATACAGAAAATTCAATAATCTTCCTTAATATTTATTTATATAATTTTTTTATTTTGTTGGAGGAAATTCGTCTGCCCATGCTTCTTAGTTTCTTGATATTTCTCTGTTCCGTTATTGTACTATTATTACATTCCTTATATGTATTTGCTAAGCCTAAGGCTAAGTTTTCGTAATTTTAATACCAATAAACAGCTTCAAAATTAGTTTGTTTGTCTTTCATTGCTTCTGTGCCAAAATTCAGTTATTGGCGAGACACGATAAGGCGAGATATCCATGTCTTGTGTCTACCACACGCATGTACGCCGGCATCAATGCTCTTGTTCATTTCTACTAGTGCCATTATTATAATTATTTTTATTATTTTTATTATAATTATTACTCACCCTATTTGGTCAGGGTGAACTCTCTTGTGCAGAGCAGGAGACATTTCCTGAGGTAGGTTGGCAAGTGAGAAGAGTTCCGAGAAGAGCCTCTCAACGTTAGAGTTTTTCTTCGCTGATGTTTCCACGTACGCACAGCACGGCAGTGACGACACCAGCGTCAGTACCGCCGAGCTCGGCACGCAGCGACTGCTCACCAGACGACAGCTCTTTAGATTATTTGGTGAAGCGAACACCAACACTTTACCAACAGTATAGTTGATCTAAAAATATAGGATTTTCATTATTTAAAACTGACAGTAGCATTACTGCAACCTTGTAATCACGGTATTATCATTATTGTACAGTTATACTCAATCGTTCGTTACAAGCTGAAAAAGTCACCAACAAATAATGTTACACAATTTGGAAGCATCAACAGAGCGATAAGCATAAAAAAGTAAGTAAGTAAAGGGAGTAATGGTAAATGGTCATATTCAAAGAAATGACGATTGATTATTGGTTATTTAAAATTCAAATCTAAGGAAAATAAATTTTTTATATCATCTTTGAATTATACGACAATTTACAATAGTAGTTATAATAATCATCTTTTTAATTTTGGTTTCTCATTTCTTCATGCCATGCATGTCTTAGAAAAATTCATTTCGGATGTCCCGATCTTAGTGACCCTCTTGGACATTACCAGGGCTCTCCTTCATAGTTTTGCCAGCATCATTAATGTACATTGGTAATAATGCGCCGCAACCTTTGACAGAATCCTCATTACCACCTCTCATGCAATAACAAATAATTTATGTAAATTTCAGCCGAATGGATAAGATCAGCGTCTGTATATTTCATCAGCAGTCATATCCAACTGTGATCTTATGAGAGAAGCAATGGCATAATTATATGGTTTTGTCACAGCTGCTTTTCTCATTGTTTATAAAAAAACAGATATTTTTTAGAGAAATACTATGATTCATATATATAATGATTACGAAGTGTTCATATTATCTGCATTTAACTTTTAACCTTGATCACAATACAACACCACAACACCACATATTTCTTCTCAAATGTTTTTCATTTGCAATTTTAAGACCGTAAAAATGTTCATATACAATTGTGCTTCGTATGATACAGTATTGCTAGATTTCAACCCGTTATAGATATTTAATTTCCATTTTGATTCGCAATATAAACTACATTCCACCCATCATAATTCCTGAACGCACGCGGCCTATCATATGCAAATTAAAAGGCTAATTCATTAGTTAAGCCTGCAAATAAGATAATGAATGACGGCATGCGGTATTGCGGCTCCGCGCCCGCAGCTTCTGATGCAGGCTTTACTTAGAGAGGAACCTGCGCACTGCATAGTTTGAAAACCCTGCATGTTCTATCCCTGGTATCACAGGTCACGGATAATTTACTGTCCTTCATCACAATTTATTTATTTCCATAACATTGAATCTAAAACTTAGGCGCGGAAATCTCCAAGTTGTTAGATTAGGTAGATAATAGGATTAAAAATAGTGAATACCGCTTGAAGAATTCTTTATAAATTACGGTAAATAGTGATGACAAAGTAGGGCGAAATGCTTGCGGGTTGGGGAATGAATTAAAGAGATGAATACTAGTAGTAATTATAAAGCATACTGGCGGTGAAACTTTCAAATTTCTATTACTGTGACCCTTACACCAGAGCTAGTTTTATTATTACAATAATCGAGACGACATTTTCACATTCAAAATCATAAAGAAATGTGAGGCTTCGAATTTTATTCGCAATTTATTATAAAAAAACACCAGACGAAACCATATAATCAGACTAGCTTTTAAGTAGCAGTTACCCCATTACGATGCTGTCCCTGAATCAGTTTCAGCAATGCAGAGCAACGCAATATAAAACACCCGTGCACGCTTGACAAATAAAAATCTATTGCTAACTTATTGCCATGGCGCTAATCACATCTTGTGGTCCGGCAATAAATCGCGTCAAGATTGGCGCATAAAAAGAGAAAAAAAATGGGATGAGCGGAAATGATGGTAGAAATTATAAGGCATTGGCTGGAAGTGTCCGCATCGACCATCTGTTCCATCACTGATTGCAGTTCAACGCGAAAAAATTCGTTGTGCAAAATTAAGATTAGCGAAAGGGAGCGCCGCACTATAAATGCTTCTCGGTGATAGCAGAAGCCAAATGACTATCAGCTGCAGAACCAGAAATTTAGAATTATTGTGGTAACAATGGCTGCTGTTGTGTTGCTAAAGTTTTGCATTAGACTTCAGAAATTATTCAGTTTTAAATCGAATATTTAACTAAAGTGTATCATTTACAGTTGGAACAAAATAATTCTGACAATAAGTTTACAAAGATAAGTTACGATTAGAAATACGAGTATTTCAAGATGGAGCGAGTCTCGAGCTTGCGGCCGTTAAATTTATATAAGCGATTCTGACAGAATACGATGTATATTTGGCAAGCCAGTGACTCGTGAAAATTACTAACGACACAATTTCGATTGAAGGTACGCATGTTCTCATGTCAGTATCACAACACTGCCCTCGCCTCGTACAGTTTACTAGCTGGCAGCGTACAGAATATTTCTATCATTTAAGAATTAAATGAAACAAGAAACTGTTTAAAGCTAAACTGCCAATTATGATGAGAATTTATGAGAGATGATAACGTTAACAACGAACACCAGAACGAAAATAATCGTAATGCAAACTAAACCATTTCAATGTAAAAAAGAGCACACTTACACCTGATGTACCTGATTGTCGATTGTCACCTGATTGTTGAACATCATACTTCTGTGACAGAAGAAGCCGATACCATGCGCTCGCCATGACGTAGTGTACAACCAATATACGCTCGTCGACACAGAAACTTTTCCCAGACCAGGAGAATCATATGAAGCGATATCATCTAGTCTCTCACTGTAAACAATATCTAGCGATATCATCTAGTCTCGCACTGCAAACAACATGATAATTCTAAAACGACTCCAGGAAATGTTGACTCAAGCAGCTCCCGCATCATCCTGGCTGAGTTAAAAATCACTATACCGCTCAAAATATTTCGTATGGAAATAGGTTAGAGTGAATATACCTAATCATATGCTGTTATCAAGACGCCAATTAAAAAAGGAAATAATAAATTGACTAGAAATGAGACAACTCTTTCTCTTAATTTTCTCCTATGTGAATACTACGTACAACTTTTCGCGACAAACACAGTGGTACTTGGTCAATTAGTTTCATGCGTGTCTGAAATTTATCCGAATTAAAGAAAAATAATTTTCATCATGATAACTTGTGGAGCCATTTAAATATATTGTTCAAAAAGTTCAGTACTTCAATGCAATGAAATACTCATCATTCATTTTTTTCAGATTTGACGTTCAACAAACGCAGAAAAAATTTACTTAAAATATCAGCGATATATCTGGTAGGTCGTAAAATTTTTCAGTTTTTACGATGGTCATATTTTAATGACTGGCTCTGTAACAGGGAATTGGTCAAACTCGAAGGGAGCCATTTTAATAATAATATTTCGTAATAAAAAATGTCAGCGCTTCAGTGCCATATAATAATTTCGTAGCAAAAAGATTGGACATTTTTCCAGCTTCTGAAATGTGTCGCAATTACCCACACCAATTTTAAACATATAAGCTAACGTTTATTAGCTGTCGGCTTGACTTCTTTATGGTCTCGATTTATGTCTTAAGTCGTTCGCCTGCTCGTCCGCAACTCATTTGAATATGAGTTGAGTTATTATTATTTTCTGGCAGAAAAGAGGCATGCTGACAGTTAATCAGACTGAAGTATTGATTAACTAAAGCTTGTGTCACGTATAACAGACGAGGAGTGTATTTCTGTGAACAAGTTAGCTGGAGAAACACATCCGAGGCACGATTCAAGCATATATGAATCGAATTAGCCCATAAAAGTGCGTAAATAATTAGGTTTTGTCAGTTTTTGCGTGTAAACGAATAGATCTAACTAATAATCGTACTGAAATTAACTAGTCTAGCTAATAATCGTGCTTAAATAAATAGATTTTGCGAATAATTGTTCAAAAATATTCAAGCAATTTTATATTTCGTGTAATAATAAATAAGTTACTCATGAATAAAGTTGCCAAAGAGACGGCAAGCTCTGCATGAGACAGGCAGAACGGATAAGCTCACCTACTACCAATGTCGCACTTGTTGCCGGCGATGACAATAGGAACTCTAGGGAGCAGATCCTTTTTCCTGCCACCCGCGGCGGCCGCGACTCCTGCCACACCCGCCAGCACGCCCATGGAGTCCCCCAGCTGCTGCTGATGCTGCGTCAGCACGTTGCGCTTCGTCTCCAGGATCTCCTGACGAAGGCGCAGAACTTCGTCCCACGACTCCGCGCTGTCCACGCTGAACACCAGCACGAACAGATCTCCTGTACATGGAAAATGATCGTTGATAAAATAATCAACGTGCGAGGAAATAAAGATAGCAACTTACAAGGAATTTTATCTGCTCGACGCTCATAACGAAAAGATACCAGCGTAGATAGGATGGCAAAATACATCGATGAACGATTTCAGATCATCTCTATGGAAGGCAATTTATTAAGGATGAGAGTAAAAGCGTCTATGTATTCATAGGCGCGGCCAGCAGACACTAGTGAAGCCGCCTGACGAGGATTATTGTAGCCTGATATTGCGTTAGTGATACTCGGGGTAGACGCGCCCAAGTGAAAGAAGCCAAACTTTATCACCTTTAATATAATATTCAATTGATGTACTTGCTTCTATCGATTAGGCGAATAAACCAGTGATGAATCATATGAATTAATTTGGTTCAAATACGTGCACCACGAGAACAACTCAATTATTGGTCAATTATTGTGTCACTGTGAAACTAATTGGGGATTTTGCTGTTAATATCTGCAAGATGGCAGATCGTTTGCTTTTGCAGGAGTCGCTTACGCTAGAGAAAATTTTGTTGCTGGAAACTGAACTGTATCAAAAATAATTTTTAGATGAAATATATTTGGAGTATAAAAGTTGTTAGAAAGCGACTTGCGTAAAAGCCTCCCATAGAAATAATTCTAATTTATGCTAAGCGAGTGCAGAAATAATCTATTCTATTTCGAATCCTGGTTGAGTTTGGCGATGTCAGGACAGCTACGCAGCACCGAATCTGCGACGAGACTAAGAAAAAACTTAGGGTTGTGAGTGTCACCAAATCCCTCAGGATTGAAAAGGTCATCGCTCGAGCTCGACATCCGTCACGATCTTTGTGCGCTCAACCGACGGCGCTATGCATCGATATATATATATATATGGTAATCCAAGGGCAACAACGTCAAACCCCGGACTATACGCAGCAGCGGACACTTCAAAAGAGCAGGAATTCTTCAGGAGTCTGGTGTAGTCAGGAAATTTTGCTTCAAAGAAGGTTGTAGACTTCTTCATTATTTTGACTGCATTGGATTTCTTGGCGTAACCACTGCGACATTGAGCAGCCGTTTATCCTGCCACCTGAGACAAGCTCTCAATCAAACCAGGTCTCTAAGTATCACAATCGAGCAACTTCATCTCACGATCCGCAATGAATTAAACTGGCTCCGTGACAACCTTGACAACAACGTCAAACCCCGAACAATACGCAGCAACGGTCACTTCAAACGAGCGGGAGTTCTTCAAGAATCTGGTGTAATCAATAAATTTTGCTTCAAAGAAGGTTGTAGACTTCTTCATTATTTTGGCTGCATTGGAGTAATTGGGGTAACCACTTCGACTTTGAGCAGCCGTTTATCCTGCCACCTGAGACAAGCTCGCAACCAGACCAGGTCTCAAAGCATCGCAATCAAGCAACTTCATCTCAAGATCCGCAGTGAAATCAATGGGCCCCGTGGCACTCTCGACAACGTCAATCTCAACGAGACTGTCACCTGCACTGTGCTGGAGGAGCCCACCAACATCGTCATCTTGCGGTGGCCCGACATAATCCAACCGACGATAGCTGAAGCCCTTTTTTGCGGATTGGACTCATCTATCATCTCATAACTACCTGATTTTTTAGGTTTTGAGATTGTTTTGGAATTATTTTCATGGTTCCAAATTTTCGTGTTGTATCCTATTTACGTGTATCATGTACTTATTTCCATCAAAATTTCTGTATTCAATGCTTCCTGTAACTTGAAAATGAATGTTGTTACATTCGAAACGTCGTTAATAAAGTGATATTACTCCCTTGAACCTGCATCTTATACACATCTAGATGTGTATAAGAGACAGTTGCAGGGGTTATTGTTCATTACAAGATTCTGTATTTTCTTGTTTTTGTAATAAATCAGCAGTTTAATTTTATTATTAGTTACGTTCACGATGTTGTTGTGAACGATAGAATGAAGGATCCGTTCATCTGCTTTATAACCGCTGGTCATTTGGTTCTCATAGTAGATGGTTGTGACGTTTGCGTCAGTCTCTGGTTCATGGTTGCGTCTGTTTTGGTTCGATCGAAGCTTTGAAATTTCCTTGTCAATTGTTCTATTTGCAAATCCATTATTGACTAATATCACTTTATTAATATATATATGTAGCTAGCGAGGCACACGTCAAATTCTGAGGTCAAGTATAAACATCATGCCCCTGACAGATAGAATACAACAATTTGAGAAATTAGATATATTTTTCAAAATATTATTCACAAGTAATTTTGAATTATTGAAAGTTATTACAATTCAGTGGTGTGAAAGTCCAAAATTAGCTGTAATATAAATGGCTCTTCAATCAAGCGAAATATAACAACGACTACGAAAATTTAGAGAGAAGAATCAATCCAGTGGAGCAGGCATGAGGTGAAATAATTTCTAGCAAATAATACGATGTAACATGAACGATTTTGTTCCAATTATTAAAGAACATAACATAGAGAAATCATTTATGTAAAAAACCTGAAGTAGATTTTGACCTACACCGAAAACCTAATATTATTAATTCTATTTTCATTAATTTTTCACTATTTCGACCATTATTGTTTAAATACAATTGCACAATGCACAGGTCATGAACACATAAACGCTTCTTCCGTCCCTCAGGAACGCTAAGGAGGCGAGCCTCCCATAGGGATCAATTGCAACGCCCAGAGCTCTTCATAAATTGCCTGGCTGTCCACACCTCCAGGCAGCTGCACTAATGATCACGTCTGCCGTCTAGAAATAATAAGATGAAAAATACCACAAGAGACGAAATACGGCGAGTCCACCCAGAGGAGGAGGAAGCAATGACCTGATTACAGCATCCTCGAAACATCGCAGGATGGCTGCTAATTTAGGAGCAAAATCTTATTCAGCAGGTTTACTTAACTCTGTTAAAAGTGGTGGCCTGACGGATTAACGATGACACAAAATTCGTTCATTTAAATTCTTTGAACATTAAACCAAGAGGTTGTAGTCGGTCAATGCAGATACTAGCACACTAGAAAAATTAAATTATTCGCTTCTAAAAGTCGTTTACAAATTAATTTCACTGGTTTCGGAGTACCCAGTAATACTTTTACGAGTTTTACGAGTAATAAAAAATATTATCGTAATAAATATCAATGTCATTTGTACGGTTAATAATTGTTATAAAGGCATAATATTATCGTATTAAACATTGATGGCATTTGAACGAGTAAAACGAGTACGTGCTTTGAGATAAAATAAATGGCGTTATGTTGCCCTACTATGATCTATTTATGTTAGCAAGTGACGCAATAACGTTGCGTATACTGGACTTATAATCCATTAAAAGATTCTAGCTGTGCAGTAATTCACGATATCATTCGTTAATGAAGGGATAAGTAATTTATTTTAATCAACTGCTCAAATTACTTTGAAATGTTCTGAAAAATTACTGTACGTTCCTTCCAAATGTAAAAATAAATTCGTTGGAAGCAAAGCTTTAACGTTAACTCGTACGAACTGGATGTCGTGCAAGTTGATGGTTTCGACAATTGGTTCTTAAAAACGGATCGCTTGATAACATATTGAGTCCTTTTGCGTCGCTTTAATAGAATTCTGTTCCCAGGCAAGTTATCATTCCCATTTTCTTTCCTTTAATATATGCACATAATTTAACTTTGGCCTTGAGACGGCGGCGTCACATTCTGGGCATGAACTTGGTGCGAGTCCTCGAAGACATACGAGGGCGTTAGGTGCACGAGAACCGAGGGCAGGACTCGAGGAAAATGGTCGCATTTTTGAATGCTAGGCAATTTGTAAACCGCCAAACTCGCGAAGATTGAGCGTCAATTCCAGCAAGGGAACGTCTGAAGCCCCGCACTGAGTTTATTGCAAGGCGATAAAATACCTTTGGGACGAGGTGCACATTGGAAAAATTTCCTATTGATTCTTGGTCGCCATAATTGGGAAGAGCAAATGCTGTAAAATTGCACGTCATATTGAAGATAGGAATAAATGTTAGAATATTTGCGTATCATATGCTGGCAGTTTAGTTTTGTACAAATGTGTTCGCGAAAAGTGTCCCCCGTAAATGATTTAGTATGTTTAAAAAATGCTGCTCTCAGGTAATGTTCAGAATAATAAAGTCAAAGAATCTGGAGCATAGGACATAAAACCAGCAGAAGAATAGTGCCGTGCTTACAGTGAAGTACGGCAGGGTGTTGAGAAACGAAGTTGTGATGGGTTCAGAAGCGGCAGCTCTGGATGGACAAGCCATATTAAGCCTGCTACGAGGCTCATCGATTCATTGCACGGCTTACGAGGAAAGAGTGCATTAGCCTTCACGGATATACGACACTGCCTTCGATGGCAAAAATATGGTCCACTGTACGTGTACGAAAATAAGTACTAAAAGATGATGAAACGAAAAGTCATTAGTAGTTGTGTGGGCAATGTTCGTTGCCTAACTTAGTTGATTTTTTTTTCGCCCATCATTTAAAGGTAAAAAATCGAAAAATGTACTCGCTGTAAAATTACAACGATTTATGTGCATAAAAATGTTTGCTTCCAATGCACCTTGTCAATGAATCAAAAATGAATGTCACTGTTGAAAATGACAATTATTTTTTGAGAATTCAACTCTTTTTTCACAATTTCCATCAAGATATCACTGCTTACTTCTCCTCATTTGACTCAGCCACTACCAAGTTCCGCACAAATATAGACGATATCTAAAAAATTTTTTAGAATTGACTCGAAACCAAATCGAATTTATAAACACGGCATTGAAAAGCAGTTGCATTTAATACAAGCATACGCTTTGAATAGATAAAGCAATGAGCGGCGGACCACTTCACCTCATTCCGAAGTCATTATAAAATCATCTGGCGCGTCTCTATTTCTTTCTCTCCGGAATTATATTATACTATGTGCCTCAGTATTCAACTCTATTTAAAGACGACATAAATCTTACAGTTAATCGATGTATTATATTCATCACTGTA